CGAAACTTGATGCTTGTGGTTTTACATTTAATTTTGGTAATGGAATGGTTAAGTTATTTAATGATTCTCGTTTGATTGGGAATGACATTTTATGTGATGGTTTGTATAAATTATCTTTGGCTCCTTTTGGTGATGTCTCGTGTGCTACAAATGTATCAAAGAAAAGGACTTTAATTCGTGAATCATCCTCTATGTTGTGACATAAGCGTTTGGGTCATATTTTTAAGGATAGAATAAAAAGATTAGTAAAAGATGAGATACTTCCCTCTTTAGACTTCTCTGATTTTGAAACCTGTGTGGATTGTATAAGAGGAAAGCTAACTAAATCTATAAGAAAGGGTTCGACTAGGAGTAATAGAATTTTGGACTTAATTCACACTGATATCAGTGGACCTTTGCCTTCCACCATATGTGGGAACAAATATTTTATGACCTTTATTGATGATTTCTTACGATATGGATATGTTTATTTGATTAACGATAAATCACATGCATTTGAGAAATTCAAAATTTTCAAACTAGAAGTAGAGAAATAATGTGGAAAAAGTATCAAAGTTGTAAGGTCTAACCATGGTGGTGAGTACTATGGGAAATATGACAAGTCTGGTCAAAATATGGGTGATTTTGCAAAGTTTTTACAAGAGTGTGGAATAGTGTCTCAATAAACCATGCCAGGGATATTTGAGCAGAATGGTGTTTCTGAAAGACGTAATCGAACCCTAAAAGATATGGTTAGAAGTATGATGAGTAGAACAAATTTTCCTGAATATTTGTGGGGTAAAGCTTTGAAAATTGCCATGTATATTTTGATCAGAGTTCCAAGTAAAGCTGTTGCAAAGACACCTTTTGAATTATGGACAGGACGTAAGCCAAGTTTGGTTCACTTAAACATTTGGGGATGTCCAGCCGAGGTTAGGATTTATAATCCATTTGAAAAGAAATTGGACCCTAAATCAACACCTGACTACTTTATTGGGTATCCAGATAGATCAAAGGGATATAAGTTTTACTGTCTAAATTGCAGTACTAGAATTGTGGAGTCCATTATTGCTAAGTTTTTGGAGAACGATTTTAGAGATAGTTGGAGTTCCACGTTGAGAAAAATTCTTGTTGAATCTAATCAAGTTGTTGTTCCAGTTCCTTTTATATAGGAAAGAGTTGGTTCTCAACCAATTGAAATTGTTAATGAAGAACAGAGGAACTAGGAGGAACCTCCAATTCCTCAAACAATGATTGAATCGTTTTCTGAGTCACAAGTTAGGAGATCACAAAGGAAAAGAAGACCTGCATTGCCCAGTGATTATATTACATATTTATTGGAAAGTGATTTTAATATTGGGCATATTATTGTTCTTGTAACTTATAACCAAGCATTGACAAGTCCTGAGGCAGAAAAATGGATAGCTGCCATGAAAGATGAAATGAATTCCATGGAAAGGAATAAAGTTTGGGATCTTTTTGAACTTCCTCCAGATGCTAAGACTGTAGATAACAAGTGAATTTTCAAAAGTAAATTAAATTCAAAAGGAAATGTTGAACGAAAGAAAGCAAGATTGGTTGCAAAAGGTTTCACTCAACAAGAGGACATTGATTATGTTGAAACATTCTCCCCTATTTCATCGAAAGATTCTTTTCAAATTATCATGGCTCTTGTGGCACACTACAATTTGGAGTTTCATCAAATGGATGTTAAGACATTATTTTTTAATGGAGATCTTTCTAAAATGGTTTATATGAAACAACCTGAAAGTTTTGTTGTGAAAGGAAAAGAAAACTTGGTGTGTAAGTTAAACAAATCATTGTATGGACTTAAGCAAGCATCTCGACAGTGGTATTTGAAATTTGATGAGGTTGTGACCTCTCTTGGTTTTGTTGAAAATACTATTGATCAATGCATTTATCTCAAAACCAATTGAAGAAATTTTATTTTCCATGTACTGTATGTTGATGACATTCTGCTTTCTAGCAGTAACTTAGGGCTGCTTCATGAGACAAAGAAAATGTTGTCGGCTAATTTTGAGATGAAAGATTTTGGAGAAGCTTCCTATGTACTTGGCATTGAAATACATCGTGATAAAAATCGTGGCTAATTAGGACTTTCTCAGAAAGCTTATATATGACGTGTTCTAAAAAGGTTTAATATGCAAAATTGTGCACCTGGTGATGTACCTATCATAAAAGGAGATAAGTTTAACAAAACTCAATGTCCAAGGAATGAGCTAGAAAGGGAGTCTATGAAGATAATTCCATATGCTAGTACTGTGGGGAGTTTGATGTATGCTCAAGTTTGCACTAGACCGGATATAGCCTACGCAGGAAGTGTCCTTAACAGATTTTAGTCTAATCCAGGATAAGAGCATTGGAAAGCAACTAAGAAAGTTATGAGATATTTGAAGAAAACTGAAGGTTATATGCTTACATTCCAGCGTACAAATCATCTTGAGGTGGTAGGATATTTAGATTCTGATTTTGCTGGATGTCAAGATGATTTGAAATCAACCTCATGTTATATTTTTACATTAGCTGGTGGTGCCATTTCTTGGAAAAGTGCTAAACAGACTCTAGTGTTATCTTCTACTATACAAGCTGAATTTGTCGCATGTTATGGGGCTGCAGTCCAAGCCGTTTGGTTAAGAAATTTCATCTATGGCTTGAAAGTTGTTGATTCCATCTCAAGACCGATCACCATCTAATGTGATAACAGTGCAGTAGTATTCTTTTCAAAGAATAATAAAAGTTCTGGTGGATCAAAATATATTGACATCAAATATTTGGTTGTGAGAGATAGAGTTAAAGAAGGGCAGACGAAAATAGAGCATATCAATACAGAGGCGATGATTGCAGATCCCTTGACTAAGGGACTCGCTTCAAAAGTTTTTAAAACACATGTTACTAATATGGGCATTGTGGAAATATTTGATGTTTTTGGTTAGTGGGAGTTATTTATGTAAAGAACTACGTTTTGGGCTTGATCCCTTTGCGGGGTACGTAGGCAACCCATTTGTTTTCGGGTACAACCCCTTCTAACTATAAAGTATTTTTTCCCTATTCATGGACTATTTTGAGCATGCATTTGACTTATGTTTTTTATTATAATATTATTGTCATCTTGAGATATGACATGTAAAGACATAAGATGGGTCTCTTTTGGAGACATGTGGCTTCACTTTGATCAGAAGTAGAAGCATTATGAGGATCGATATGAATTAGCACAGTTTTTTATCACATTTGGTGTTAAGTTCATACCACACACTACCACATTGGTTGGAAGATGGGGATCCATGTCGATAAGGATGTTGACATTTGTAGCTGTGGAATGATCTTACATCGCTTAATTGGTGTAATGACTTCCATGTTCGGTGTTAATATCCTTGTTGGATTGGATCATGTTACGTAAGGTGTCATCATTGGAGTCATACTTTTGTGGTCATCTATGTAGTCTAACCCGAGTGTTAAAACTTTGTTATAGCAATCAAATGTTTGCCCAAGTGGGAGAATGTTGGAATAATTTCATATGTGGGCTTCACATTCGATTGTAAATTTTACGGGTTAGATATATGGCTCAAAATGATATTTTTGTTTGGGCCAAATTTATTAAGTGATCAATTGAGCCTTTTGCACCTTACGGGTTGTGATTAATTTGATATGGTAATTTGAAGTATGTGGACCGAAAATAAACCCTAATTAGAATTCTAGTCGTAATGGGACGACTCAATTATTTCTTATATAAAGGCTAGATCACCTCTCCTCTCCATATATTTTATTGGCTTGCCCCATTGATAGCTGATAATTTGTGAGGAGCAAGAAGGGGATGATCTTGGCTGCTATTAAAACTATCATTCATATCAACAATGGCTTCCGTAGGTATGAATTAGTTTTTATAAATTTATTGGAATGTGATTATCGATTCTTAACATGGTTAAAATTAAATTCAACAGTCTCCATATATTAATTCTCACAGAAACATTTACAGATTGAAATTCATCAGTTACCTATAAAATGAATGGGGTTAAGGTTTGCAAAGTTTACAAATATAAAAACTTAATGCATGGGTTGGTTGGGGGATGGTTTATTCTGACAATTGAAAAGGGAAGAGACAAACGAAACGTTGTAAACAAGTGTATATCATGGTTTACCTCACTGGTGGGGGCTCAATGGCCCCTTGAAACATTTTTCCAAGTTAACCTGCAAAATTCATTCCAAAGTAAGAGTGAGGTATCTTGTCAAATTCATATTTCACCATACTTTCCTTGCTAATCTTAACCACCTGCAGGGATTAACCTAGTTTATTTTAGTTTTTTAAATACAAAATATATAAGTGTTCTTTACTACTTTATCAGTCGAGAAAAGGGAAAATAAGCAACAAACTCGTCTCAGCTCCAAAACCTCCGTGAAAGAAAGCATAATATATTAAAAGATTATCAACTAATCCACTTTTTTGAAAAAAAAAAAATTCACATTAGAATTCAAAATGAATGTAAATTACAAAGTATTAATGAATTAGAAGCAAGTAAAATTCATTAACCAGATAGAATATATAAGCAGGAAGAAAATACTAGGAGTAGGTGGCTGGCCGATGGTGTAACTGGCAGGCAGAGGAGTAATCGCGCAGATGACGACGATTTGGTGGCGCGATTAGGGTTGAAAAAAGGGTCAGCGCATTTTGATTTATGAAAAAGTGAAGAGTAAAGGGAAGATAAGAAGAAGAAAAGCAGCCTAAGGGAGTGCCAAAGTCGCCGTCGTGGGTTCAGTTGGAGCAAAGAGGCAAGAGGCGGTCACCCCTGCTGGTACATTTGAAGGAAGCTAGAAGCGAAGGGAGAGTGGATGGATTTAGGGCAATCTTCGAATTTAATTGAACTGGAGATGGGTTGGGCAAATTTAAATGGGTCATTTGAATTGGGTTTGGTGGGTATTAGTAACAACTGGCCAAGAATGTTGCTAAATGTTATATTTTTGCAACAGTCAATGCGCGTTGCAAAAGGCACATATAGCAATGTTCTATGACTGTTGCGAAAGGTATTAGTGTTTGCAACAGTCTACAGTTCGGGTATAATCAATTTTTACAATGTTTGAAGTGAGACTTTCTGCAACGTTTGTCGAATTTATAACTTTTCGCAACGTTCTTTGAGCGTTCCAAAAGAAGTTTCAGCAACAGTCGTTGAATGTTGTAAAAAGTGACATTGGCAACATTCGTTTATAAAATGTTGCTAAATCTGAAAAAAAATTAACCAATCGCAATATTCACTCCTTGGAATATTGCCATAGACTTCTTTAGCAACATTCAATCAATGAATGTTGCCTTTTAAGCATTGCAAAAGGGCATTTTTGTTTTAGTGTTTATAGAAGCTAAAATAAGTGCATTGCAAAAAGTGACATTGGCAACATTTGTTTATAAAATGTTGCTAAATCTCAAAAAAATTAACCAATCGCAATATTCACTTCTTGGAATATCGCCATAGACTTCTTTAGTAACATTCAATTAATGAATGTTGCCTTTGAAAATTGCAAAAGGGCATTTTTGTTGTAGTGTTTATAGAAGCTAAAATAAGTGCATAAAATGTACTTATCAGATAAATTCAAACTTAAACTCTTATTCGTCTCGAGTAAGACCATCTACTGAACACACAAGCAACCAAATAAAACACAACATTAAATAACTTTGCTATTAGAACCAAGTATTGAAACCATTTGATAATTCATAAAAAGCTCAAAGTAATGCGACTAAAACTAATTTTGTACTTATTTTATGCTTGATTGATACGTGTATGTGCATATTCAATCATATTATATAAATTTTGAAGTTGTTATTTTCCTACACTTAATAGTTAAATATTTACTTTCTCTTACGTGGGATGCATATCGTCAAATTTTTTTTCAATTACATATCCATGGTGTATATTCTAAGGTTGATTACACATCAATCTTTCATTTCCAGCTCATATTTGGTTAGATTTCACCAATGAAAGTCACATCCTTGAAACGTGATAATTTTCCCTAAGTTTAAACGTCTCAAACTTCCAGCTTGAACAAGGATAATACCCCACATCAAAATTTTAAATTCCAAATTAAGTATCCAAGACTTACGTTGAAACAATGCTTATAGTTATTTTGCAACTATCAATACTGCCTTTTTGTTCTCATATTTTTAACTGTTTCCATTTGTTTTCGGTATCTATTCTTTGATTTAAGGAAGTTTTCACTCTACATTGTAGACAACCTTCTTCTCCGGTAGTTTATCTCCTAAATATTGGTTATGAATATGGCTGAAATACACAAGACTAGTTTGATACCACAATGTCGATAGCTTTTTCCTACGTGTCATGAGTAGTGCGACGCTTTTATTTTGTTTTGATATGTAATTGACATTAAAGCCCTACTATATTCACCTAAATTCTACTTGTTAGGCAAAAATATTTCAAACTAATATTCAACATGTAATCAACCACTTATCTAAATAACTCCAGATCAAGTACCCTAAACTATTCCTTTTAATTGGTTAAGTGGATGTGGTGTATATTATGATTTTGGTTTATTCTGACCTAAGTTCATTTATGCTATTATATCAATATAATCAATCTTATTGAATTAGTGAAAAAATAAAAATAAAAATTGCATCACTTATTCATAATTCATGAAACACAAACAATTTCAAATACTCATCAATTAGTCAGCAAGGTACTCTATCTCACACAACCACACAGGAAGTAAATGTTTTTTCTTAATTTTCCATGACATATATGTATATTTTAATTTTAATTTTTGCCCATCTGACAGCCCTAGTATAGACCGTGTTTCAGCCACACACGACAATGTCCTCTTTCTTTTTTTTTTTTTTGAAAGTATGGGAAAAATTCCGATATGTAATGTACAATTATATTTTTTACATGCAATGCATTTAACACAAAATTAAAAAGGGTTATAAAAATGGGTTGTCTCCCATTAGTTTTTGATTTGTAGTCTCAAGTCCGACTTTGGGCAATGACCTTTCATGACACTTTGAACAGTGCTTTGAAGGTCTAGCTTAACTTGTGTAGATTGTCTTTGCACCACATAGTGCACGTCCTCCAAGATTTTCCTTTGCTTTCTTGAATACGGTTTACCCAAATTGCTCAATTTTAATTCAATTAAGAATACTTAGATCTCTTCATCACCTTCAACAAAATCAATGAAGTTTTATTTTTGCATGCTAATTTCATCTTCTCTGAATGTCATAATTCATTTGGCTCCGTAATGATTTATTTATCGATCTCTATGTATTCTTCTCTTTAGTTGTTGATTTCTTGAGTTGAATGATAAATGGATATCCCATAGGGATTTTACTTTACTAATCCAGAATTATTTGGTCTTCAATACTTCCATATTTTGGCGAGGCGAACATATTTCGCAAGTACGTCATTGTCAACATCTTCTCCGTACGAATCATAGAAGATAACTCTCTTTACTTCCCCTAGGATGGCTAATAACAATCAATTTTTATTATAATGCAACACCCCCACAATATTAATCAATCGATCTCCCCTCGTCATAAAAGATTCAATATTTAGTCTTGCAAGTCATCCTTATCAAGTAAGGTAGGAGAATTATATCAATTCATGGGGAAGACATTTTCTATAAGCATATCATTGTCATCCAGTACGACATGTGGATTATTGTTAAGACTTGGGGTCCATCTCAATAAGGTCAACCTTGTTAAGAGGAGTGTTCCAATTCTTTATATATTGGTCATTATTTCGGTATTTTACCGATGTGGGATTATATTCCCTTAACATGCCCCCTCAAGATGGTGGCTCGTTTGAGCAGACCAATCTTGAAATTCGTGTGCTCATTTTTAGAGACTTAATCGGATCGAATCGCTCGTTGGAGCTTAATGGGCTCTGATACCAAGTTAAGACTTGGGGTCCATCTTAATAAGGTCAACCTTGTTAAGAGGAGTGTCCCAATTCTTTATATATTGATCATTATTTCGGTATTTTACCGATGTGGGATTATATTCCCTTAACATGCCCCCGCAAGATGGTGGCTCTTTTGAGCAGACCAATCTTGAAATCCGTGTGCTCATTTTTAGAGACTTAATCGGATCGAATCGCTCGTTGGAGCTTAATGGGCTCTGATACCATGTTAAGACTTGGGGTCCATCTTAATAAGGTCAACCTTGTTAAGAGGAGTGTTCCAATTCTTTATATATTGGTCATTATTTCGGTATTTTACCGATGTGGGATTATATTCCCTTAACAATTATATCTATTCCTACTGAAGTCATCTCCTATAAGCATATCATTGCCATTGAGTATGACATTTGAATTATATCTATATCTAGTGAAGATATAGGAAAATTTTTCGAACAAAAGCATGAAATAATTTAAAATAATATTGCATAAAATAGTTCTTGACAATGACGTCAAAAACTAATGTTGATGTCATACCACCAGATTTCAAGGAAAAAGGGGAAAAAGATTAACATTTTACTCCAATATTCCAATTTCTGGTTGGAAGAATCTTGAAACTCTAACTTAACCAATTTCTTGATTCTTCTCTCCATTTGGAGTTTCTTTTCGTATAATTGATATAACGGTTGTGTCCCAAGAGGCCACTTTGGCTTTATAATGTGGAGTGAATTACCCAAATGATCACTAAACTTTGGAAAATGTTTCCAATGGAAAACCTTTTACAAAGTTTAATAACAAATTGAGTGATTTTTAAAGTTCAGTGACCTCGTGAAATTTTTTTGCAAAGTTCAGTGACCATTTAGGTAATTCACTCTTATAATGTGTATAATGAAATCATACTAGTCAACTCGAATATATGTGTATAATGAAATCCTACAAGCTCCTTTTAATTGTTGAACTAAGTCATGTATTATAGAACAAAATTTAGGCAACATTCTTGTTCAAATTAGTTTGCACAAAGAGTTTGAAAAGAAAAGAAGAAATAATTCATTTTTTTTTCTATTGGACTCTTTTTCTCATGTAACTTTAGTGCTTCATCTTCCACTATCTATAATTAAGTCGCATTCATCCAAATATCATTAGTAATTCACCCAATAGTAGTTGTGAAAGTTCGTAATTTAGCATCATACTTTTCAAATGTCGAATATAACTCCAAAAATTTATGAATTTTTACCAATGCTCCATTAATATTTCCAATTGTTTTTTGCAATTCGGTTATTTTTCAATTGCTCCTATTCAATTCCAATTAAGTTTCAAACAGCTATTTTTGATGACAATTATAACATAATTTACACAAATTAAGTAGATAATTGCTCAATTTATATTTAATTTAATAAGAATAAAACTTAGCTGTAAACTCTGCAAAAGCTTGTGCATTTATGGAGGTCTTTAACTTAAATTCTATGTCAAACTATGACCATTTGATTGCCCATTTAAAATGTGGGTATTTGAAAATAGCTTGTCTTATCACTAGACATTAAATGATAGATCCAAATAAAGATAAAGATTTAGAGTCTATTTAATATGATGTATCATGTTGCCATTTTGACTTGTGTTAAATATCATTTGTTTCAATTAATAGGTCAATGCGAGGTGATCATGAGTCTATGTGAAAATTATTTGACATTAATTGATAGGCAATCTTACAACTTTTTGAGAGACTTTCCAAAAATAATTTTTTTTCTAAATTCATTTACAACCATATGTCTAAAAAAAGAAAAAAAAATCATTTTCAAGAAATAATGCTATTCAGCACCACTAATATCCAGCACCAGTTTGGGTGTCAATTGCACGACATTAAATAATAGTTTTATTTAAATGTAATGTAACATGATTCATTTAATTGAACCTATCAAGTATGTCTACCTAGCCTAGCATTTTAGCACCACTAGTGCAAAATAATATTATTCTTTTTTCAAGTGACTCAATAGTTTTATCACACATTCTTCAAAAAATTAATTATTCCCCAAAAATGTCTCTTTCAAACAAATGCTTTAAGAATGTGGATCCTGCTTAAAATAACATATCAATGAATATGAGTACCACTTAAATGCACATTACTATAGATATTATTATGTAAAATATTATGAAAATTGTCCATATTTCAAGCATCTTGGCTAACTTTATGCTATTTGGACTAAGAAATTTAGCAATTATCTAGACTCGTGTTAAGGACTAGAGATGCTACATCATATTTACTCAGTTTAATATTATGAAAATTGTTAGATTTCTAGTATCTCAATTATATCTATGCTATCTTTTGATTTAGAAAAGATAACTATTTCAATTTTTTGCATTATAAAATCCATCCATGTACCATAAAATCAACCACCAACCTCTAATAGTTCTCTAGCATAAGTATTATTAATTTTGAAAATAAATTAGCAAAATGTTTACTCATAAAATCTCTCAACCTTTATCTCTGTTGACTTTGCTAACCATTTCACTAGCCCAAATTAACTATTGTTCTTGCATAAATGCCAAATCACTCAATTTTTCTGTCGCTTCAGCTTTCTCCCCAGGTGTAGCAACATTTTATGCTGGCCCTAATGAGCACGCTGGTGGAAGTGGTAAAAGTTCAACCCATGCGCGTTGAAAATTAAAATGAAACAGGGGCATTTTGATACCACCCAGAACAGGAACTTTACATTAAATCGAAAAAAAAAATCTCTATTTTCTTTATTCATTTATAGGATTTTTATCTCTTATGACTGTTTAATTAATTATTTTAGGTGGAGCCTGTGGATTTGAGGATGATGGATTAGTTGCTCCTTATAATGGCTTGACAGCTGCTGGAAATAACGATTTATTTAAATCAGGTGCAGGTTGCGGAACTTGCTATCAGGTGCTGATATTGTTTTTAACTATTCATTTGTGTATTTTGTATTATTTATTATGAAAATGTCTTTCTCAAGTATAGTTTCAGATGATCTCTATGGGTTTGATCCATTTTGATCAAGGACGGACCTTGAGTATGAACTTAGTCCTGGTTGAACTCTTGTTTGCAAAATTAATTGCAATTCGTATGCAGGTGAAATGTACCGAAAATATGGAATGCTCAGGATATCCGGTTCCAATAACAATCACAAATGAGTGTCCTGGTGCATGCAACGATCAGCATTTTCACTTTGATCTAAGTTACAAAGCTTTTAGACTCTTGGCTAAACGTGGCCAAGGTTTTGCATTGCAAAAACATGGAATAATCAATATTCAATATCGAAGGTGAGCAATTCATATTGAACACAAATATATAAGTTAACAAGCATCATCTAAGTTTCTGGTTTTTCGTTTATATAAATGCCATCTTCCATCGTACTTTTGTTGGAAGAAATGGATTGAAGGGCTGATTTTGGCATAAATTTTGAGAGGGACTTGTTTTTTTATTTTGGAAGATCAAGATTGATTTGTATTCTTCTCCATGAGAACATCGAACTCATATATTTATTTGCCAAAAATGATGCTCAGGTGAATGAGAAATTGTAGTTCAAAGTGATGCATTGAAAGATGTTTCGTATTGGAAGGAAAACTAATTTAAAGTTATCCCACATAGAAAAATAGATAAAGTTAATGACTACTTTAAATATGATCACACTTTGAAAGGGTGTAATCATGTGCAGCATAGGAGTTTTCTCTACTTGCTCGCGCAAGCGGTGCAAATCATAGACTAAAATAAAATAGGCTTTGGAACTTGAACTTGTGTGCGCAGGTTGCAATGGATTGAATGAACTAAAAACTGACCCTTTATGAGAGTTCATGTTTTGCCTTTATTTTATTATTTTTCCCAAAAAAAAAAAAAAACACCTTTCAAATTCTTTTTACTCCTGAAACTCATGATTATGTCTGTGTTAATGGAGAGATTAACAGCCGTGTTAATGGTGGTTAATGGTATAACTCTTGACCTGTTAATTCTCATATACAACCTATTTACCGAGTTCTTTTCCTCCCTTATAGACACACGAAAAACTCATTTCTCAGCATAATTTTGACTTTCCGTCTACATACATAATTTTACTTTCTTTCAAGGTATTGGTGATAGTTTTCGGATACTAAGTCAATTCGTCGGAGTAGTGTCTGTAGTGCTCGAGGTCTACTTTTTTCCATTGTATTATGAAAAATAGATGCACAAACTAAACTTCAAGCACCTATAGTGAGGGGGTGAATCTATTTTAGGGAAATTGTGTTTACACAGATCTCGATTGGAAGTTCATTTGCTCTTTTATTATTTCCTACAATTTTAGATTACTTGTTTTGTTCTTATTGTAATTAATAAAATTATTTTAATCTGCAATATTTTCTTAACATTTTCTATATTTGGAATTTGCAGAGTTCAATGTTCATATCGTTGGACCCCAATAGTGTTTCGAATTGCCAAAGGTTCCATCAGAGGGCAATATTTAGCCTTCGCGAGTGAGTTTGTAAATGGAGATGGAGATGTTGGTGCAGTCGAGCTAATTGTTTCGAAAAATAATGTAGTGCTTCCAATGACAATATCATATGGTGCAACATGGGCAACTGGGTTCAGTATCCCAGATACTTCAATTGGCCCATACTCTGTGAGACTGACTACTATCGAGTCCGGGAGAACAATTTTGGCCACCAATGTGATTCCAGCTGATTGGGCTCCAGGCCAAGAATATAGATCAAGTGTCAATTTTTGATTTAAAAATGAATTATTTCCAAATATTTTAATTAGCATTGGCTTTTATGTCATCTGATGGATGTTTTAAAAATTAATTGTCAGGAATTTTTCCGATGTTGGAGTTTGATACTCATACATGCTCTTCTCTTCTTCTTCTTTGGGGTATCCTGTTACTCAAAATTTGATTTCTTTGATTCGGTAAGATTTATATATTTATTATGTTAGCTTGGGGATCGTTCCTCGAATGAAGGAATTTGGCAAATAATTTTAACAAATAATCACAATACTTAATTTAGGCTTATACAGAGGTCTTATCGATTAAAATCTTTAATATTCTTAGGGACACTTACAATCGTCGCCAATTTCACGTGCATCATTTCAAAGTTTTGCAGAAATGTCCACGATAGAAATGTCCACGATTGACCATTCTATCCTTCTACAAAAATGACTCGAAATCTTTGAGCGATTCATATTACATAGTATAGAAAATTTGGTGCACAAATCTTCTTACACTTTTATCCTCCCTAATACACAAAAGATAAAAAGAATTCAAAGGTACATAGGATATTAACTGGAAAACGTGCAAAATTTGTAATTAGATTAGGTTTTTACAAGACAAATTACAAGGGACGTAATTTTGGTAAAAAAACAACATTGCAGAGGAAACAAAAACTCTTGCTGCCATGTAATGAAATCATATGTGTAAAATGATGTTGTAAAGGATGTAGGGCCATGACTGAGTGTTAAGTACTTGTTAACAATGCTTAACAACGTGTTTATTGTTCTGTCCAAATTACATAATTGGCAATTTCTAAATTTGTAAGTGACAATTTCATTAGTCAAAATCACGTTTTAGTTGAATTGTATTAGGAGTTAGAGCCTGTTTCATTCTCATTAATTGCGAGAAAATGAATTTTGAATCGTATTTTTAGGAGAATGTGTGATTAAAAAGTTAGAAAAACTTTTTGGTATGCATATAGAACATTTTATTATATGAATGTGCAGTTAAAAATGATCCTATAGAAAATAATAAAATAAAATAATGGGTGTCAAACAGGTACTTGATTGCGTCGTAATCAAAGTCAAAATAGGAGTAACGAAATTGTAATTAAAGTCAAAATAGTTAAGGGCTTGATGGAGTCAAAGATATCCCAGAAAATCACATATAATCAATGGAATGCAATTAGAAGTCAAATGGGCGTCAAAGTATTGCACAAGTTTTGCTTCAAATTTTCAGTCACACATTGCGACTCATTTGTCATATAGACAACATTTGAATTTAAAAAATTCTAACTTCAGAAGGTTTGTAGCCTTTTGAGTTAACTTTCTAACACACTTTGAATCTCCTTAATCGGACATTTGGATAGAAAGTTATGATAAAAATACTTATTGCTACTCAACTAAGCTCACTTCACGCTCGAGCGGCGTGGTTATCCGATGGACAATAAAATTCCTTCCTCAAGCTGATTTTGAGTTTCTTTTCACCCTCAAACAACATCTGTTATAAATATACACTTTATGGGACATCCAAAACTGTGGTTAAACAATATTTTCGTTACAGAGATCCTTTTTTGAAGATCTAAACATTCATTGATTCCTTGATTTAAACATAATATTATTGTTCATTATTCAACCCATAAATATTGATCTTTCATTAGTAGAGCCTTGTTGTAAGTCAAGAGTTTATCCTTTGAAAGCAAAATACATATTCCAATATATCTTGCATTAGCCTACAAATCAAAATATAAAAGATCCTTTTATCAATCACCAAAACAAAGCCGTACCTTCCCAATTAACCTTTCGAGTGTTGGAGTGTCGGGTAAAGGCATTTGACGTTTCAACTCTCGAGAATAAGGTTCATTCTTGTTGATCCACATGGAAAGAAAAATAGCCCAGAGTTTTGAGAAGTGCATGAGTGCACAACCTAAGAAGTTTTTCGATGATTTACAAGTTAGTCGGCTAGAGTCAGCTAAAATTTAGTAGTGTCTGGACTAATTGGAAGTTCATTTTTCTAGAGAATTTTACTAGAAAGTTTTTTATCGAGTTAAGGATTTTCCTCCATGAACATATTTGGTGATATTTACATTTTATTGTTTTTGATCTGAATGTTTATGATTGTTTAAACATATTAGTTAATTAAATTAATTACCTTAAACATCTAGAGGCATTAATAAGTGACTTGTTGCTTATTATTATTTTAATTCTGCATTTTTGTCGAAACTATTTAGTTAATTTAAACTTTCAAGTGCTATTAGAGCTTCATTGAGATTCTTGACCCAAAAATTATCTAAACGAGCCAATTACATTCTGATGTAAGATATGAGGATGATATGGATTTCATGAGGCTTATGAACGGCTTTGAATTAGAAAAGTCCTTTGAATTAGAAAAGTCCTTGGAAATTAAGGTTAAAACTCTTATAAATTATCTTGACAAATCAAGTGCCCAACTTCAATCCTTCTCTAGCAGATCTAAGAAAATTGAAAACATGATAGGTTTGAACAAAATATGTAGGACTAGAGGGGATTTAGGCTATAATGAAACCAATTCTCATACCGCTTCCTCTACTAAAAATACTTTTGTACCTGCCTCCATCAAGCCTAATTAAGGTACAAAACTTGAAACCTAAAGTTGCTCTTGACTTTATCCCTACATGTCACTATTATGGTAAGTTAGGACACCTAAGACCTAAGTAGGAATGCCAAGAATGTACGTGCCCCAGGAACGAAATCATATGTAAAACATAGGTTTCCTCCACCTAAAGTTCGAAACTTGAAACCTATGTTTGCTCTTAAATTTGTTCCACTTGTCAAATTGTGGTGAGTTAGGTCACATTAGACCTAAGTGCCGTAAACCCTCGTCTAGAAATGACAAACAAGATCTAACTACTCATGTTAGAATATTGACTAATCAAGTAAGTCACTTGATAGATTTAATGACTCAATTGACTAATATTATATCTTCAACTAAGAAGGTTTGGGTAAAAAGAGTGTACTCATGGATCAAAGTGATGATATTGGTAAGAACTTTTTTTTGCCTCATTGATTAAGCATTTAGGTGCATGCATTTATTTTATTCATGATATTTACATATTTATGCATGCACTTTTTATTATTATTTTTTTGTGTGTGCTTATTTATTGTTTAAAAATTGAAAAGATTTGAAAAAGGAAAAAGATTTTCAATAATATATTTAGACATTTAATTTGTGATCAAGTACTAATATAATTTAGAATAATAAATAAAGTTTCCATTTACTTTATTTAGAACATACTTGGAGTACTTGGTATTATTTCATCTACACTCGGTACTACACACAATAATCTCTTGTGAGTGGATTTTTGACAGTATGTGTGAGATTTGGGATGATGGTGGTGGATTGACTTTGAATATGGAATGACCTTTAAACTAGTTGACCTATGCTTTTGTACAATCCCTTTAAAACAATTATTTATTTATTTATTTATATTGAGTTTCAAAAGACATATATGAAAAATTGTTGCGATACTTTTTTTTTTTTTGCTATTTCAGAAGCAGCTGTAGCAGTGGAAGTGCTTAATTCAAGGGCAGATGATTTTTCAGGCTCATTTTCAGAAGGAATAGTAGATGATGCATAAAGGGAGTCTTCATGAGAAGATGCGGTGGCATCTTTTGGATCGGAAGATACTTTTCCAGGGAAGTCTTCTAGCGTTGTTGGTGTCTGGTTCTTTGACTCCTGTGCAAGCAAGGCTCTGGCTTTTATTATCTGCTTGTCATGACAGTAATGGAGGTCAACAACCTTGTCACTCAAGGAGAAAGAAAAAACCGCACAAGTTTTAGCAGCAAGTTCATTGACAAGCCATTTATCCTTGTTTTGGGGGGGGGGGGGGGGGGGGGGGGAACATATATACAAAATCAAATATGAGCTTTTAATTTGAAAGGTCCTAGTTGTACTAGGTTTGACTTTCATAATTTGAAGAATATATTCATTCACCAGTGATGTCTATGCATGTTCTCATAAATTTAATGTTTTGAGACTTGGATGAATTTAATGGTACTTTTCATACATGAATTTATTATACAATTTACTCCATTTAAGTTTAAAATAAGTTACGTGGGAAAAAGTTTACTGTTTATGAATTATTTTGTATTAAGTAAATAACTGTTCATGATTTTATATTTAAAAAAATCATAAAAAAATAATCGTCTCAAAAGAAAGATTATTTATTTATTTTTATTCTTTCATCACATGTTTTGCATAATTTTACATGTTTTTATGCATATTGTTTTTAACTCAACTCATTTTTCTTGTTATTCGTGACAAAAAGGAAGAGAGGCTTCTATTTATTTCAGAAAGTTGAGTATATGAGTTGGGGAGAATTTGGAGAAAATTTTGAACAAGTTTGTTTGATTTGATGATTGGATATAAGCTAGGGGGAAAAGTTAAATAATATGAAATGTTTGATCTAGCATTTTTTTCCATATTGATCTTATGTTTGATTTGGTGTTTTGTCTAGTATCAATATCATGTTTTGAGCCACTAGTTCTACTTTATTACTCGTCAATTTCCTTTTGCTTTTCCCGTGGTATTGTTGTTTCCATGTATTTCAAGAAACATGTTGACATGATGTTGAGGTAAATTTTGGACATTAAGTCGTTGGGTCGATTTTTATTTTGACTTTGACTTTGAAACAAATGATTTTGCTGCGGAATGCCAAAAGGGGAGATTGGTAGGTCCACATTATATATTTGGCATTTTATAAGTTTGTAATTGACAATTTCCTTAGTCCAAATCATGTTTTAGTTGAATTGTATTACAAGTTAATTGTGTTGTAATCAAAGTAAACATAGGAGTAATGGGATTATAATTAAAGTCAAAATAATTATGAGTTGGTAGTATAGTGCTTGAAGGAGTCAATGATATTAAAGAAGATCATAGTGGTGCACAAGTTGTGCCCCTATGACAGGTCACCAATCCTTCGTAAGTGCTCATGGAGTGAATTGTATAAGTGATCCATGTGTATAAAGTGTCATCAATCTTTT